GCAATTTGGGATGGGTCTGGCATTCCCTGGAAAGAAGTGTCAGACTGCCTGTTGAACCAGTGTGCACCAGGAAAGTGCTCATGCCGGGGAAAAGAAGGAAGTGTAAAGTGAAATACAAGAAGAGAGATGTGGAAAAAACAAAACAAAACAATGGTGAAATGGTGAGTGGTGCAGGTTTGGATTTCTCAGGGATGGAGGCAGATTGGGAGTTGCCTTGTGGCTCTTCCGTGTGGTATGAATGAGACTGTAGTTCAGGGAGGAGGAAGGAGAATCAGTAATGGCTGTTGAGATAAGACATAATGCATTGGAAGCATGTGTGTGCAGAACTGAAGGATTTCCTTGAGGAATGTTATTGTGGATTGGGGTGGATAGAAGTGTTCAAAGGTTTCTGTTATGGCAAACAGCACAGTGTCTATGAATTCCTACCAACTTACGTTTGGACATGGAACCAGGCTCATGGTAAAACCAAGTAAGATTTCTGAGATTTGGTACATTGAGTTGTTCAGTGGAAAAATTCAGTCCATCCACAACCAGGATAAATGTTTGCTACAAGAGTAATGAAATGCCGTTTAGAAGCAAGCTGTTTCCAAGAAGCAGTAACAGTGGTCTCTTGGTTATTATGGTATCTGCTGGGTATTGTTGAACAGGAGAGGTGGTCAGCAGAGTAGTGATGTAAATTACACGAGCTGTGGAGCTTTGTTGTGAGAGAAAACTTAAAAAACGGCAACCTCTGTAGGCGCGTGCAACTTAACTTTCATACTGTGGACAGTTTTATGCTTGCAACATTCTCTGAGGAAGCTTTGTGTCATGGTTTTCCTTCCCGAAGTGTCATTAAACTCATGTTTGGAGTAGGAACTAACCTTCTTCTTTCTCCAGGTCTGTGACCTTGGAAAGTTAGGTAAATGCCTGACTCTAGGTTAGGCACACGGAAGTTTGAAAAATATTCACAGAAAACTCTGTAGTCTTTCTTCCCTTCCTTTGCAATAAAATAATGCATAAGAAAATTGGTCCCTTACTATAAACAAGAAAGGATTTCCCACTAGCAGCTTGGATTTGGAGGTATACAATGCAACAACAGTGAAGTAAATGAAAAAAAAAAACACCTTCTTTCCTCTGAACACTGTGAGTATATATTCACACCTAAGAAACTTTCCCGAGCATTTGAATCAGAAACCTCAGGGAAACTTTTCACTACTTCAGTAATTAAATCTCGAGTAAATTTTCAGCCAGAATTGCAGATTCTTCAGGAGTGCTTTGACTTTCAAAAAAGAAAAAACAACTAAGAGGAGTGAAATGCTCTCAGAAGACTGACAAAACCATTTGTTTTCCCCATTGGAAGAGAGTGAAAGGAATTGTAACTATTTCACCTGTGATTTAGATGCTCTCTCTGCTTTCTCAGAAATTCAATCCCCTTTTCTCTCTGGGATGGAGAGAAATTGAATTGTGATCTAGGTTTGGCAGGGAGAGTGAGAGACAGGTGTTGCTCATGCTTGGATTTTGATCACCCATTAACTAATGAAGTAACTATGAGATCATTCTCAATTTAATTTACAATGTCTTTGGGGACAGGGGTCTTTTCTGGGTTGAATTATGAGGAAGGACTCTGGGCTTGGCAGTAACCCGTGAGGGAGGTTTTGATGCGCTGTGCCCTGATCTGTGTTTTTGTGTGAATGCATTTTTCCAGTTCTGTAGGACTTGGGTTACAGGGCTTCCAGCACGCTAAGCCAGTTTTTATCATGCAAAACCAGCTAGCTGTGCAAATTGGGAGGGTGCATTTGGGCACTCTTGGCTAAATTATCCAAGTTTGGCTCCAACTGCTTTTTCTTTGTGGTTGGGTTGTGTGTTTTTCAGGTTTCGTTTTTGTAATTTTTTTCCACTTTCTAGCTCAGACAAAAACTTCTGTGATTTCAGGGCTTTAATTCAGGTTCTGATAGTTTATCTTTCTGCATTATTCTTTTCAGCCCTTCTCCCAATAATTATACTATTTACGTTCTTCTGCTTTCTAGGGCAATTCATGTTCTCTGCAGCTCTAGAGAATGGAAAAATAACCATGTGTTGCATTTACAGTGCTTGCTTGTGTGTGTGTAGCTGTATGATCACTGATGAATTTGAGCTGTTGTGCAAGACCTAGTTCTAGAAAGGATGGATGAGTGAGGTCTGTTGTGTTCTGAGCCACTCTACAGGCTTCAGGGCATGACACAAACTCATGTTGGGTAGCGTCCCCACCTCTCAGAGTGGAACCCAGCAAGTATTAATTGATACAAGGTGAAGTGCAGCCTGCAAAGGAGGGTGGACATTGCAAGAGATAACACAGACTGGTGAGACTCAGTAGCAGCTGTCAGAAGGCTTCTAAACAGTGTCTGGCAAGTTGTTTATGCACACACTGATTGTCAGATGTTGCTCTTGTGCGGAGAGAGAGGAAAGAATAAACAGAAGGCTAACTAGTGGTGGACTCATGAATGTCAGGAATGATTAAGCAGGCAGAAAATGTGTCTTACAAAAGTATTTATTCCACTGTGTGTGCTGAGGAGGTGGCCAATAACAATAACGTTGGTTAGGTTATTTCAGTAAGAATCTTGCATTGCCCTGTTCTCAAGTCTTAATCCCGCATATGTGCATACCAGTGCACCATTTTGCAAAGCATAGTGTCACAGTGTAATACTGGGTCTTATGGCAAACTTATATTTGGAACTGGAACCAAACTCACAGTTTCTCCAGGTATGTCTGAATTCTCAGGTGTGATTCCTCTTGGAAGTACTTTTTTTTCACTTTGCAAGTTATTTTGCCTATTCTGTCCCTCTACAATATGTTAGGAATAGGACTATACATTTTCAACTGGTATAAGAGCAAGTGATTTCCATGGCTGCTTATATATTTTCCCCTCTGTATTCCTGATGATGAACTGGTCAAAGCACAAGTTTTACATAGGCAAGAGGATTTTTCTTGGATATCCAACAGGAAGTGGGCTTCTACATCAAAAATCCTCATGTAGAGGAGAAGCAAAGGGAAATGGTGAAAGCCAGCAGGGGCCAGCAAAATTCAGAGTGGCTAGACTAGTCTCATAAAGCTGTAGCTGGTAAAAAGGACTTTTCTAGTATGTGGATGCTAATACTTTAAAATAACAAGACTCCTAATTGCATGTGGATGCTAGATATAAGGTCACATTGGGTCTTTGCTTTGCTGAGACCCTCAATAAAACTGTAATGATAGGGGGTGGGCGTCTGTCATATTGTGAAGCATTATATAAATACTTGAAGCTTAGGAAGTATGATTATCTTTGAGAATGAGGCCAAGTTGTAATCTAGTGTTGTAAACTAGTGTTAAGTACTATGAAAGTACCTTGGCCTTCAACATGCATGTGAAGCTTGGGGCACATTAGAAGTGAAGCTCTGAAACTGTTGGAGAACAGTGTGGCAAGTCTCAAAAGCCAGGGGTGAAAGAGATACCCAGACAGAGGGGAAAGAGGTCAGGAAGCAAAGTTCATTACTGAATGACTTTTGTGGAAAGATGGAAAGGTGACCCTGACCATGAAATAATTTTATCTGAACAAAAAAGCACAAATAAATAGTGCTCTGGCAGTTGTTGCCATAAGGCAGTTGCCCAAAATGTCTGAAAAAAAAAAAAAAATCCCTCCAAAACCCCACACCTCTTCTCTTGTCTGAAACTCTTTGCAAAAGGGAAAGAAAGGCAGGCAGGTTCTGAGACATCGATATTTTTTAATAAATGTACCATTTTTTTCAAATTTCTTAAGAATACTTTCAGGAGCATTTAGTATCTAAATGGTTTGGGTTTACTCTTGAAAAGTAATGTTTCCATTTCTTAAAATGGTGGTGATTGTTAAGAAAATATCAAAAGAATTTTATTCTGAAAGTTAAAAACACAGCAATATCAAGAAACTATTCATTCTGAAAAGCTCTGGAGAAATTCCTCACATTTCAAATGAGCCTTCTGACTCAACTCAGAAACATCAGAGAAAAATAAGAATCTCACGTTTATATGGAGCTATCAGCAAGCTAAAGGAGCTGTAAATGAAAGCTCTGCCTGAGTTCCTTTACACGTCCTGTCTATGCAACTGCTCCAGATCTCACCCTGGTCACACTGTAGAACCTAAGAGCTCCCCAACTGCATACTGAAACCTCACTGTTTAATGTAAGAATAAGTAATGGCCTCCCTGCCACAGAGAACTTGCATACCAAAAAGTGTGCTTTCTACTTAGAAGTTAAGTAGTTCTGGTGGTGAGAGATGGGAACAGGTTTCCCAGAGAAGCTCTGGATGCCCCATCCCTGGAGATGTTCCAGGCCAGGCTGGATGAGGCTTTGAGCAACCTGGGCTAGTGGGAGGTGGAAATAGATGGTCTTTAAGGTCCCTTCCAACCATTCTATGATTCTATCATTCTAAATGGCAGATTTGCTCTAGAATCACTCTTGACTAATTCAGATGGCAAATCCAACAGAATGAAATGATGAAGTTTGTACTACACGATCGATTGATAACTATGTGAGCTGTGAAGTAAGAGCAAATAAACTATTTTTTGAGAGAGGAATCTGACTGGCAGACTAAATAAATGAGGAATGAGATGAAGAATAGAACTTCTGATGCAGGTGGCTTTCCGGAAGCCATGGGATAAATATCATGGAGGGGAATATTAAGGACCAGGTGTTTAGGAATGTGAAAGATGCAAAACACCACATTAAAGAAAGTTAGATGGAAAAAAGTCTTAAATAGATGGATCTGTCTAATCATAGAGATAAATAGAATTTCTTTTGGTGGAGTATTTAATTAATTCAAAACCACTCTAGATATTGTAGATGTCTGTACTATTGTGTGACTATGGAAGTAGTTACAAACTCACATTTGCATCTGGGACAAGACTTCTGGTTTCCCCAGGTACATTTATCCTGATTTTTCTGCTTAATTTGCAAGATTTTTTTTTGGATACACACCAAGATCTGAGAAATAGCAGCTATCAAAGATATAGTAGCCTGAGATCTCATCTTAACCAGGGGAATTAATTCCATGGCAGCTGTCCAAGCACTCTTCCTTAAGGCAGCTGCATGCAGGCATGTGCTTTCAGTGCCTTTACATCAATTACATTCCTGTGCTACGCTGAGACAAAGCCTAGTTTTGCTCTTCTGTCAAGTAAATCATGTAGATTTGTTCTCTCCTAGGAGTAAATCCATGCCACTTCCACTGGCCTCAAGCAAAGTCATGGATAATATGTCGGATGAAAATGTATTGATATACAAGAATGGCTATAATTTTTTAAAAATATCCACTTATTTTGTCTATCACCATTTTATCTGGTCTTTGCTTGTAGCAGAATCCCCAAGGAACACTATACTCTCTCTGAACATATTTGGATATTCATTAGTGTTTGAATGGGAATTGGACTGCCTTTTAGCTGGTCTGTCTGATGTACAGATACTACATTATCCACAAACATTGCAAGTGGATTCTGTTTGAGACTGGGACTTGAATCCAGATTTTCCAAGCTGTCACAGCTACAAGGTCATACTTAATGCTTACTCCTGCTATTGTGTATCTAAGTAACTGAGAGTGTCTCCAGTTTTGTAGAGGTTGACACCAGTGTGCCAGTCAGGGATATGTGAAACCCACATTTGGAACTGGGACCCAACTTCTTGTTACCCCAAGTAAGTTTGAGCTTCCTGTTCCTTATTGACACCAGGACTGATTTGTTCATTGGGTGGATGGACTAGGGACTTTCATGGAAGCATGTTCCAACTTCTTTTCAGCTTCCCTTGACAAAAAAAACTAGTTGCAACAGAGATGCTGTCTTGGAATCTAGGGAGTGTTTGACTGTGGTGCAGCAGTGGCCCACTGCAGAAACGAACAGCTAGAGAAGGTGGTAATGCTCACACAGGTTTAATGGTCATGGCGTGGTGCTGTCACACAGAGTGCTGCAAGCAGTTCACACATGGCTGAATGTGACGTAAAAAAATGTTGATAGAGTTCCTGGCTATTAAAATTTTCAGACTTGATGTTTGTATCTTGAAAATAATTATACAATGTCCAGAGGTTATTCTGACTAATGGCTTAGAGATTGGATTTTCTAACTCTGAAAGCTGAAGAGAATATGAATTGGATTTTCTAACTCTGAAGCTGAAGAGAATATGTCACGATTTTTTGGTTTTAAAATCCAAAAGTAAAGACCCTTTCCATATTTGTAAAAAAAAGGCGTTAGAGTGTGAGCAGTCAGAAACTAGAAAAATTGCATTTGGAAGGGGAACCAAACTTGTTGTGATGCACGGTAAGTCTCTTTCCTCGGTTATATGTTAAAGTGCTTTAGAAACCTGAAAAGATGGAATGACATTTCAAATATCTTTGTGTGTCATCCTCTGGCAGACAGCTTTCCCACATATTTTGGATGAGGAGCCATTGGAATATGCAGATGGTAGGCAGGAATTTATTGCAAAGGCTTCTAGTCGAGTGGGAAACTGAAAGATACAGTAAATTTGTGTTTGGAAGAGGGACTAGATTTAAAGTCAACCCAGGTGAGTAAATTTTGGAGAAGGACACGTTATGAAGTTAATGAAGGCAGGAGCAGTGTCTGTTGGTTAGTGTTTCTGAATAGGTCTAACTTTAAGGGAGAATGAACATGAACTCTAGATGAAGAGTGGAGGGAGGAGTGAAAGCTAAAAGAAAATGAATCCAGGATTATTTCTCAACATGGTGCTTGTGAAGATGGTGCAGGGAGACTGGGGATAGTGGGAAATGAGACAGCATAATAAATTTATTAGGTTAATGACCTTGGCATTTCATTAACATTGATTTCTGAGTCCTGTCTGACAGTAACAGTGTTTGTGCAGGAATTGTAAATGGGAAAATATTAGCCTGGGCAGAGCTAACTTTATTTTACAGACAACAGAGTCTACGTTTTTGCCTTAAATTGAGGAGGGGGGAGGCAGGAATCAGAGATACCTCTGGGTTCATGTTTAAGTCATAGTTTCACACTGCATTGGGAAGAAATTTCCCAGGTGACTTGGGCTGTGGTATTTGCAATGATTCAAACGCCAGTGCGTGGGATACTGGAGCTAGAAGGGTAATTTTTGGAAAGGGCACAAGGCTATCTATGATCTCAAATAAGTTGTCTAATTAAATGTACCCACTAAACAGACTGATCAGGAAAGGATATAATTTTGATGTGAAATAGACACCTACATATGAGGCAATTCCACAAACAAAAGATTAAAAATCCTTCTGACTTTTTGATATCAACATAAAAACTATCTTCTTCCACCTGTTTTTAGAAAGGGATTTTATGTTGGTTCTTTTGAATTTTTTTTTTTCTTACTCATTAAACAAATGGGATTTTTTGAATGGCTCTAAATGAATATTTAATCTCTAACTCAAAGTTTATTTTTTTTGGAGTTGAAATTATTTGAATGAGGGTTGGACTAGATGACCTTTAAAGGTCCCTTCCAACCCAAACCATTCTATGATTCCACAATTCCACAATTTTTTTTCTAAAAACTCAGTCTCTGGCATATACAATTGAAAACTGGTTCTGGCAACTAAAACTCACTCTGATTTTGGAAGAAAAAGCACGATGTGAAAATGACAGAGGTTCATGAGCAGGCACTTAAAGTTATTTTGTTTCCAGACAATTGTTACACAGATGGGTTAAGCCATCTCATTCATCTGTGAGTTTTAAAGAATGGATTAGATAAGCAGAACAGCTCCTCCTGACCCCCACAAGTCTTTCCTTAACATTGTTGAAAGGAGTAGCAGAGAACATCATAGTAAATCTCTCACGCAGTTTAGGTAATGTATGAATAAATCTGTACATGAACACAAATAGGGTATTGCTTCCCAGTATGAAATTTAAGAAAACTTCATCTCAACTTTTTCTTAATGTGAACACATGCTAAACGCCCAGGATTTATCCTGTTTTTTTTGGTACTAGAGAACTATTTAGTCCACTAACCACTTGATTTCTCCTCACATACTGTGTATCTTTCTCAATTAATAGTTTTGCTTCAGCAAGAAATCTTCCCCATTAAAGGTTTATGAGAAAGACCTTGGATGATTTGGTAGTTTCACTTCCCCAAGTGTAATTACAGACACAATTTTGGGATGGAGACCAGAATTATGCCTGAACCCCGCAAGCAAAGCTGCATTTGCAAATAGTGAATCACTGCACAGAGCCCTTGTTCTCTGGATGACTTGGTTGATGCTGGACTAGAATCCAGCTTCTTTTGTCTGAGTGGCTCCAGACACAAGCACTGGAAGTCTAGAGTAGGCTTCAGGTACTAAATGTGGACATCCAGCCTTGCTGTAGACATCCTAGTGTCCACGCTGGCACATTTCACAAAGGACCTCTGGTAGACCTTTGCGAACCTCCATTGGAGGACAGCCAGCAAACATCACTGAAGTGTTTAAGTCACCAGAGTTGCTCCTCTGGGGTCAGGATTAGCCTGGGTGAGGGGGTACATATTTCCTCTTGAGTTGGGGGATAGCTCCAGGTTGACTCTAGCTGTAGAGTATCATGTCTCAGGCTGTGGAACGGTAAGAGGATCGAAGACCTCTAACATACCAGTTCCAGTCTGATCAGAGATTCAGGGAGTTCACTTTGGAGGGAACTGAGAATGACACAAATCTCTGTATAATACAAGCTGTGTGTTAAACCAGTTCAGGTTTTCTACTGCAGCTTGTTTGGAAAGAAAGGCATAAGTCTCCATTTGATGTTGGAAAAGGCTTCTGCTCTCTCTCTGAAATCAGCCCCTAGAGTTGGCCTTCAAACAGCTCTTGTTCTTCCATCTGGAAGATATTCCCTCAGTAAAGATTAAATTAGGCAGGGCGGACAGCTCAGAGTGTCATGATTTACTTCTCAACCTTTCCTGCAAATACAGATCATAAATACCAATACAGCATCTCCAACGCATCCACAAACTCATTAAGACAGAATAACAGGAAACAGAGGTCACAGGGCTGTGGTTGTAATAGCTGATATTTACCAAGACTGCTATCTGCAAACTTTCATAACAATGTGCAAATATGCAAAGGAACTTATCGGAAAAAGACTCTGGTACTAGAACAAAGCCAGCAGCCACTCTGAGCAAGAATGAGAAATGAGTATTTTGCAAAAAAAAGGTGCTGATGAAGCTTCCTGCAAAAACCAGAACTTTTTTTTTTAATATGCTCAAGATAAAAGCATTGCACAGATTGAAAGGGAGAAAAACACCCTAATGTGGGGAAAGGTGGATATATAGCTCATCAGAAAGTATGGTACTCATTACAAGAGAGAAGCAGAATAGCTCAATCAATTCCTCCTCTTCTCTTTCATACCCATGTACTCTGTGACAATGATGTACCCTGGTTCACCTGTATTTTATACAGGGATTTACCATCAAGCTTTTATCTGCTTCTGTCTTCCTCTCCCTAACAAATGATCACTGAAATCTATTTCCAAAAGAATAACTGGGAGAATGGGAGGTGGGGAGTGGGGCTGGGGGAGTCAGAACATAGGTTAGATTGTATTCTGTGTAGTTGGGAAAGAGCCAGTCTCATCAGGGTTTTCAAAGCCAGGGCAAAGCTGGGACAGATGAACTGCAATTCAGGTGAAGGGCCAGAGAATTAATCATGAGGCTTTGTGGATCAGGCTTTTTCTGAGATCATGCTAATAAAGAAACATTTCTCTAAGGTGCTGACAACTGGCCATTGAACAGATGAAAAGTATTGATCTCAGTGATAGACCTAGGGCCTGCACTTGAATAAGATTTTGAGAAAGTTTCTAAAAGTCAAGAGTTAGTCCAAACTTCCCCCAAGGGAAGAAATTTAAAACTTCTTCATCTGGGAGCTAAGCTGTCTTTAGTATTTCTACAATATTTATCAGTGTGGTGTGTGAACAGGGATGAAGCAAACTTTGATGTAAACTCTAAAAACCGTTTGTCAGTTTATAAATGTGAACTGAAGCTCCAGGTCAAACGCGTGATGGTGGAGTCTAATGGAAAATGCAGCCAAGAGGGCTGCTGAGAGCCCCAAATCTGCATCTTGGCTACAGTATGTTTTTAATGATCTTTCATGTGTTCATCATCAGACTACTCCACTGCCCATAACATTTTAATATTACTCATGAACAAAGATTTAGGAAAGTACCTTCTCAGAGAATCAGGCTTCAAGAGCTGGACAAGATGAAATGTGTGCTTAGACTACAAGTTTACAAAGCTAAATGTGCAAAAAAAGAGTTTAACCACAGGTAGTGTTTTGATATGTGTGGAAAATCCTGGTCTAACTGACTTGCTATCAGAATTTGAAGCAAGAAAACAGAAAGAAACCCCAGGTGTCTTATATCTGTAGCCTTTAGTTCCCCAAACCTCTCTTCTGCAGGGTAAAATTTACTACAAAAATCTTGCACTGCACTGTCAGGTGGTGGAACATAACAAACCATTAGTTTGTTTCATCTTTCTTTCCCAGGAGCCATGTGTTCCTACTTTGCAGCGGCTGTCCTAGCCTTCTCCTACAGGACACAATCCGTGAGACTGGTGGTAAATGTGAACACCATTAGGACTTGGCTGTTTATCCACTGTCCCTCAGGACATTTTGAATGTCAGTGGGGGCTTTGACGACACACTTGCAGAAAAGTCAGATGCTGCTGAGCTGCTGAGCTCTCTCCAGACACCTTATGTCTTGTGGCAGTGAAGCAACAAGAGGGTGCTCTCTGTGCCTGTTACGTGCGTTCCTGAATGCATTCAGGCCAAGATCCAAAATGAAGCCCAGGCTGCAGAGCAGAGTTGAATGAGTTGTTACAGAGAGGAATGACCAGGTTAGATACAGACATCTCGGGTGCGGATGCCCATGTCAGTATCATCGGAGATGCTCTGGGGATCCTGCCTGACCACTGTCTGCATCTCCCACACAACATAAGTCAACAGAAGTCTCATGTAGCTTCTGCATCATCTGCTCTGGATGCCTTGGTTCTCTAAAGGTGTCCTAGCGCAAGATCCCTGTGATCAGGCAACTGGAATAATGGAAAAACCTCCATACCCAAGTGTCTGTATGTTAAGATTGAAGGAACTATGACTGTGTACGCTCATCTGATGTCTCTTCTCTATTTTCAGATGTTACTCCATCTCCTTCAGTCTACAGGCTGACCACTAAAGATGATGAGGATTTGGAAATGTGCCTTATCACAGATTACTCTCCGGAAAAGCTTACTCTTAACTGGGCTAAGGGCCAGACAGATGCTGTTGTGGAGGTGGCAACATCCGACAACAAAGAGGAAGCAAGCTACCTGGCCACTTACTGGGCCAAGAAAGATGAAATGCAGTGCGGTGCAAATCACGAGGGCTTTGGAGAACTGGAGGGCGAGGATCCTGAAAGTGGTAATGCAATTTTTGGATGTGTGTACAGGGCTAGAGGTAATCTAGCATGAGCAGGACTTGTTCACATCTCCCAACCCTGCAAGCAATGCTGAATTATGCTCCCACACTCCAGACAAAAGATGTATTGTTTTCTTTTGCCTTCCTCATTGGTGGAAACAAGACTAAGGGACTGGTATAGTCATAGCGGAGACATCTTAAAATCATACAGTGGGGGATATAAAGCTTGAAATGCCTTTGTCTGATGGGACACTAAAGTTTAATTAGATCCTTGCCCTGAAAACAGCAGATACGAGTGTACATTTCTGTTATTAATTTGTTTTATTGTCACTATCTGCAGGTGCCAGGGCTGTCTGTGTTACAGGGGTATCTCTACACTTCAGGACAGGTAGGTACACAGCAGTTTAGGAGCAAAGCTTGGCCTGATTACAGGAAATGGCTTCACAAGTTTTTTCTGATGTTCCTTGTTCGCATAATTTCTGTTGGAGCAAAAAGCTCAGACTGGAAATTTCTAAAAGGACCCCACAGGGTTTAAACATCCAGGCTGAAAGTCATTGGGTTAATGTAGTGTTCCAGACCTGCGCTGCTGGTTTAATGTTACCGGTGTAGCCAGGGCCCGCATGCTCTTCCTAGGGCTGGCCAAGCAACCACTGCCCATCACATAACGATTTCAGGTGCTGAGATGAGTCACCCTGACTGGATGTCTGTCTGCATTTCAGACTTCAAAAGAGTTGTTTTTATTTTTGGGTGCACAAACACCTCATGAAACAAAAGATAAGCAGGTGGTTTCTGCAGTGTGTGCTCAGAAGCGGGGTTGCACTCACTGCATCTGAGCAAGCTCAGCTTCAGCTGACGGCTGCGGGAGCGTACCAGCCGCTGCTGGGGCCCAAGCAATTGCTGTTCCTGCAGGTTCAAAGGAGCTGAGCCTGCCTCTGCACTTGCCCTGTTTGCAGAAGAGCTGTACTTGTGCAAACAGGCAGCCTTGCTGAAAGGAAAACAGTTAGCTAAATGTTTCCAAAACACCACTTCAGACAAATACTCACCAGTGAACTTGGCTGATTTGATCAGTCGTTTCAGAGAGAGGTTTTCAAAAATAAACATAGAATGTTTTTTTGATGACAGCTCCCTGTTTCCCCAATATAGATCAATGTATTTTCAAATGAAAATGGCTTTGTAATTTAAGATTAATAGAAAATCCTATTTGACTTTTTTTTTTTTTCTCAAAAACCACAAACTTATTTTGCCCCTGCCCATCTTAAAAGAATTTAGGTTGAGGAAGGAGGCTGCCTCCAGCATCCTGCAGTCATAATATACTCTATTTAAAACCAGCTGGGTGGTTGGCAGACTTGCATATTGGATAATTGGGTGGCTATTGAATAAAACCTGGCCCTTGAAACATCAGCTGGAAGAAATTAAAGTCTCTCAGTGAGACTGTCCTGCTCACTGTCTTGTCAGCTCTCCTACGAGCTGACTCAATCCCACAAGGTGGAACAGCTTCATTAAGAAGGGCTTTTAAGTCTGTCTGGATGTCAGGATGTCTCCGTTCTCTTGTGACTTTCATTCTCTGTTACTTTCACAGATGAAAACCTGAACATGCTGTCTTTATCACAGCTGGGCCTGAAAATAATTTTAATGAAAGGAATAATTTTCAATGTGCTGATGACAATGGTTATGTGGAAAAAAAAGTGAGTATGCATGGGAGGTGGTAAGGTCTCTGGCAGAAAACATCTGAATCAGTTTGTTAGCCGTGAATGTTCCTTCTCTCTGTAATAACAGTTTCTGCAGTCTATCCACACACAGTTTGTATACCAACAGTAAAATCCCTCCGCTCCTATGGCCATATCATTGTTTTTGCCTACCCCTCAAGTCTATTGACTTTTCCTTTATACTTATAAAATTTAACTTTTTTTTCCTTCTTTCTACACACACCTCCCTTCTATTTCTACACCCTGCATTCATCCATCCATCAGATTCATTCCCTGACCAGTCTCCAGCCAGGAAAGTTTGATGCCTGTCGAGTTTAAGACCTCAGACCTAATATATTAGTTTTGGCCCAGTGTCTCTTGGTCCTCTTTCAAAGCCAAGTGCCGGGTGCTGCACTTTGG